CGGCAGCGGCGCCTCGCTCGCCTGCTGGGGGCGCGCCGCCGCCTCGGCCGCAGGCGGCCCCGGCCGCCGGCCAGGCACCCTGGGCAGGGCGCCCCCTGGGGGCAGTCGCGCCGCTGACCCAAGACATCTGCAAACATTTTCGTGGAGACGTCTGAATGGCCGCGGCCCCCCGCGCTGCCCAGGTGAAAACCCAGGGGCGCCAGCCCGAAATGCGGAGCGACGCCGAGGGCCAGGGCGCGAGCACTAAAGCGAGGTGCCTGGACCGGAAGCTCGAAATCACGACTTCTCGATCGGGCAACAGCAAAAACGACGGGCGCGCTGTCAGACGGAGAAAAGAGAGCTGGCGGACGCGGGCCCGCGCCGGGCCCTGGACATGGCGCTCGATGGCCCCTGCGCGGGCCCGGGCCTCCAAACGTGGAAGCCCCCTCTGCGGACTCTCAGACGCCCATCCGGTTCCGCGAGCGGAGCCCGGGAGGGGCGGGGCACTTCAGGGGGGCCCCCGACGACCTCCCAATCATCGCCAGGCACACCCTCCAAAATTTGGCCCCCCCAGGCCCTGCCCCCATCGCGCAGAAGGCGGACTGAGGAGAGGGCGGAGGCGCCAGCTGAGGCTGAGCGGGGGCCAACGCGCATAAAGCAGGCCCGCTCTAAGACCTGGCCTGACGTTGCGCCCAGAAACGGAGGGCCATTGCCCGGAGCGCGAGGCTAGCGTGTGTCTGGGGAACGGACGGATTTCAGGGCTGCCACCACTCGCGAGTCTTTCCCCGAAAACATCGACCTGCGAAACCACCTCTGACCAGAGTCGCGCAACGCTTCCACGACTAGCAGAGACGAGCCCACACGCGACGTGGAAGACGGAGAGCGTCTCGCGAGCTGACAGTCCGCAGAAAAAAGCTGTGCCCCAACGTTCCTCTGACGGCTTCCCCGTTGCGTCGACCCCTTGCCCGCGGCCCAGTCAGGCCGCGCTCGAGCCCCAAAAACCTGTCTGAGGTGACGCCCGAGCGGGGGCGGCCCCCGTCTAACACAATGCCCAGGACCTCGCCGAGGCCCCGATGCTCCTCCGCCCCGCGCAGGTTCCTCCATGGATGGCACAAGCCTCCCACTCGAAAGCCGCCGCCCCCCGCGCCCCCCCATGCCTGTCTGGCCCCCCATCCATGTCTCATTCCACCTCCCCCCGCCCGCCCCCCGCCCGCCCCTAGGCCCTAGTCGCGCCCCCGACGCTCCGCGCGCCCGAGGCCCGAGGCCGTCGGTCGGCAGCCTCGTCGCCCGAGGTCGGCCAGCGCGTGCCGCGGCGCTCCCGGAAGGCAGAAATGCCGGCCCATCGACGCGCCGACCCGCGTCCGGTAGAAGCAGTTCTCCACGTCGGCCGTAGCAACGAACGCCCCGAAGTCGCCCAGAATCTGGCGGCCCTCCTCTGATGGGAGGACAGAACGCCGTCGCCGTCAGCAAGAAAGTTATTTGTCTCATACGAATTGGACTTGCGATTCGAGCCTGCGCGAGCCCGCCCTGGCCTTCGGAATCGCGGAGGGGGGAGGGGGTCGGGGGGCGGGGGGGGGCATCGCGCGGCGCGCGGGCGGGGGGGCAGGAAACGAAAAGCGCAGACGAAAGTCGAAGTTGGCGGGCATTCTCGGGAGAGGGCGGACCAACCTCCGCGCGCCGCCCTCCGCGCCTCCCCCCGCCCGTTTGGCCCCCCGCCCTGTCTCTCCCCCCCCGCCCGCCCGCCCCCTGCCCGCCCCTCGTCGCATCCCTGGCGCGCCGCTAGCCCGGGGCCGAGGCCCGACGATTTTGATTCCACCTACTGCCCCCCGCGCCAGGGGGGGGGCGTGGCTGCCCTGCGCGACCAGGGTCCGAGAAAGTGGGCGCCTCTTAACACCGGCCCACGGGCCCTGGCCAACTTCCGAAGTCGTCGAGAGGCTCTGCTCCGCCCGCCGCCCAGCGGGGGCCCCGGCGCCGGCGTCGGCTTTCCAGCGCTGCTGCGGGCGAAAGGCCGGCGCCTACACCAAGACCCCACTGAAACAATATTGAAGGGGCCCTCTCCGTGCGAGGGCGCAGCGGCGCAGCGGGGCTCGCAAAATGCGATGGGGGGGCGAAGCGGCGCAGCGCCCGGCAAGGCGCTTCGCTGGAACAATGCCAGAATACACGCGCCGCATTCATGCGGATCTGCACTTTTCAAAGTGCCAGCGCGGGCGGGCTGTCTACAGCAGGGCGAGGTAGAACGAAAGTGAAACGCGCTGCAACGCGCGCGGAATCCCACGGATGCGCCAGGAAAAACTGCGGAGCACGGCGCCCCGCGCGAAGCGGCGCTGGACAGACGGGCGGCGCCCGACAGCGCAGACCGGAAAGCCGCCCTCAAGATATCCACCAATGAGGCGCGAAACCTGCCCCGGCGGATCGGCACATATATATATATATATATGTGTGTGTACGCGTGTAAATGTATGTTTATATATATATATATATATATATATATATATATATATATATGCGTGTTGGCCAAATGTTGCAGGGAAAACGCGCCTGCAAAAGAAAGAAAAACCAGTCGAAAGCGCATTAGAGATACCCGCCAATCCCCCAAACAGCTGCAACATCGACGCAGACTCTCGCCCGGGGGAGGGGGGGCAGGACCGCGGGCGCCAATGCTGACGCTGGCGGGGGAACAACAAGCGAAAATCTGAAGGGAGGGAGGGGGGTGGGGCGACAGCGTCGCAGGAACAATCCGCACCAACGTCGCGACAGTGGAACACCATGCCACGCCGCGCAGTTGGGCTGTAACTCGGCGCCCCCTGCATGCTCCCAACGCTCGCAATGGTCAGCCGAATGCACCGCCTGATTTATTGCGTGCTCCGAGGCGAGGCGGATCGCATGGCTCGCCACGGCTCGCGCGGGGAAAAACGCCCCGCGGGGCTCATGGCGACGCCTGGGCCCGCGGGGCTGCCGCGGCCCGCGGAGTTCGCATGGCCCAGAAACCAGACGCGGCCCCGACAACTCAACGGGCCCACGGGGGCCGCGCGGCTCGCCGGGCCCGCGCGGCGCATTGAGCCCGCGCGCGCAGCGGCGCTCCTGTGGCTAAGGGAACCTTTTGATGGGACTGGCGGGCTTATCGAGCTGGCGAGGTCCGCGCGGCCCACGGGCCGCGCGCGGTCTATTGGAAACCCGGATAGTTCATTGGAGGAACTAGAGAAGGGCCGCGTTATCTCGCACAGAGGGTATCTTGGCGTCGGCGTCTGGCCCCGGTGCCCCCATCAGACCCGGAGGAAACGCCGCGGGGCATCTCGAACTCGAAGTGCCCAAAGCCCTCGCTGCCGAGGAGGCGCGCGGCCGGCGGGGCCTCAAGGTGCCCGCTGCTTCGCCTGCATCCTCAGCATCCCATGTGACTCAACCTCACAGAACAGCCCCACCGACTCGGCGGGCCGCGACGCCATTCCCGGAATCCCACGCCTCGCCAGGTTCTTGACCAATAAGCGGGAAGACTTCTGTTTTCTCTTGAAAACCGCGTGCCCGTGCGTAACCGCGTCATGCCCGTGCAGTTAATCATCTCCGGCTCGAACCTCATTCGCACGTGCTTCTTCTCCTCCAGGACAGAGCGGCCGATGAGGCTCGCGACGTCCTCGATTCCTCTGTGAAGCAGTCGTGGATGCCGTCTGGGAGCGAGACCTTGCCGGGCTGGTAAGAGACACAGTTCCTTGGGGCACTGTCCATGTCATATGCTGACTGTCCTCGGAGCAGACTCAGGGCGGCCTCCGCCTTGGGCTGTGCCTGCGGAACTGCGGCTTGAGGCCGAAGAGCTCCGCTCAAAGGAACACGTCGCAAGCGTCCACCACCAGCCTGGAAGGGGAGCACCACGGTCGTCGAGCCCTCCTTGTCGGTCTGGCCGCGGACCAGCATCGCGTCGCGGCAGCCCGTGGCCATCTGCACGAGGTCGACCAGCATTGTCAGCTCGCGGAAGCCAGACATCCTCGTGCCGTCCTCGGGGCCGCCTAGCCCGTTCTGCTGGCGCTTGCCCCCCGAAGGGCCATCGGCGGGCGAGGCGCCCGACAGCAGCTACTCCCAGAAGCCGCCGTCGGCTGAATTAGGGGAACCAGTGGACGCTGGTGACCTCCACCGCAACGTCGGGCCCGCGACGTCGAGATGGCCTAACCACTAGGCGACCGCGATCCACTGCTTTACCGTATAGCTGACCCGGCAGCGCGATTCGCCGGGCAGATCAGCGCACCGACCCGCCGCCGCGGGCAGCGGGGGCAAGGCTTCCCGGCGGCCGCATGCCGGGGCCATAGGCGGGGGCGGCGCCGCGTTGGCAGCACCGGGCGCACCGCTGCGCCGCCAGCGCCCAGGCGGGGGCCGGCCAGCAACAGGAGGGAGTGGGCGAGGCGATGATGGTCCAGACCCCAACCCCCCCAGCCCCCCCCCCCCTCCTGGTCGCAAGGCGGGCAAGCCGGCGGCGGCAGGGGTGGCGGCGCGGCGGCCGCCGTGCTGAGCGCTGCTGTCTCCGCCCGCTGGGCCGCCTCCGCAGCCTCCGCGCGGGCCTCGGCCACGTCGTAGGCCCAGTCCGCCTGCAGCGAAAGCGGCGACGCGCACGGCCCGGCAGGCCAGCTGTGCACCGTGAGCCAGCCAGCGCCGGATCCCAGCGCGGCTTCCAGCGCCGCCGCCAAGGCCGGAAATGCCGCCGTGACCCGCAGGGTGGACATGCGGCGAGCCGTCCGCTCTGAGCCAGAGACAGGCTATGGAGGGGAGAGGCGGGAACTGGTGAAAGAAATACCGATGTATGGAAAACCTTAGATCATTTCGCAGGTGGACAACACTTCACTCAAAAGGATCAGCGCCATTCCTTGTAGAACAGATATCACTGTCATCATTTCCATCATCATGACCATGATCATGATCATGATCATGATCATGATCATGATCATCATCATCATCATCATCATCATCATCATCATCATCATCATCATCATCATCATCATCATCATCATCATCATCATCATCATCATCATCATCCCGTTGCCCTCTCGTCCTCCTCATCGTGCTCGTTGGAGCAAAGTAAGAGGCTCCACTGCAGCAAAGGGTTGGCCTGGCATGCAGCCACAGGGCAGACAGCCTATGTCGGCCGTGGTCTGCGCGCACGTTCGAAAGGAGGCTGGGGAGGGGGAGGGGCGACGGCGAGCACGAGGTCTCTGGAGAGGTCCCTGGAGGTCCTCTCGGCCGTCCCAGGTGCAGTTCACCAAAAGGCCCAGAGAGGGCCAGAGGCCAGAGAGGGTCGAGGAGCAGAGGTTCAGATGCTCAGGAGCCAATGGAGACCGGGCCAAACCTGGGCACGACAGCGACACGCCACATCTGGTGGAAGCTGCCTCCGCTTTTGAGCGGGCCGGCCCCTGGACAGACGGGACACATCTCCCCTGCGATCGAGAAGCAGACGTGGAGGTCAAGGAGGAGGATCGGCGGCGAGCGAGGTGGGGAAATGAGAAGAGGCGCCCTTCTGAGAAGGCTCGGAAGTCCCACAGCCTTCTGATAAGTTTGCGCGGCCTTCCCAAAAGACACAACAAACCTTTCAGAAGGCGGGACGCATTCTGAGAAGCCCCGCCGCCTCATGAGAAGGCCCGTTCCTTCTCATTCCTTCCCCTCGCTTGCCGCAGAGAGGAGAAGGGCGAGAGCGAGCAGCAGGAACCGAGCCAGGCGAACGGGGGGGATAGCATAGGGGGGGGGTGAGAATCCGCTCGCGTAGCTGATTTTCCCGGCGCCGCCCGGCGCCGGGAGGCGCCCGTGCATCGAGGAATGGGCCCGGCGGCGGGGCCAAAACCAGCTGCATGCAGCAAATTTCGCCCCCCCCCCTTTTCCCTATCCCCCCAGTTTCGTCCGGCCCGAGAAGCGAGAAGCTCGCCGCGCAAAATCGCAGCCCAGACCCGCGAGCCAGGACAGCACGGCCTCCACCAGGACTCCACCCTGTGAAGGAGGCGCGCGCCGGCCTGCGCCGGCAGGGCTCGGGCCGCGGGGAGCAGCTGAGAGCTGAGCATATGGAGAAAATTGCCAGGGGGAAGGGAAGGAGGGAGGAGGAGGAGGAGGAGGAGGAAGAGGAAAGGAGGAGAAGGAGGAGGAGGAGGAGGAGGAGGAGGAAGAGGAAAGGAGGAGAAGGATGGAGGAGGAAAGGAGGAGAAGGATGGAGGAGGAGGAGGAGGAGGAGGAGGAGAAGGATGGAGGAGGAGGAGGAGGAGGAGGAGAATGAAAAGGATCGCAGGCTGGCCGGTTGAGGGCAGCCGCGACCAACGTAAATGTGGCGGTGAGAGGAAGACCGGGCCGGACGAAAGGGGGGGATAGGGAAAGGGGGGTTACGAAATTTGCTGCATGCAGCTGGTTTCGGCCCCACCGAGGGGCCCATTCCTTGATACATCACCGCCTCCGGCGCCGGGAGGCGCAGGGAAAATCAGCTACATGAGCTGATTCGCAAACCCCCCTTTTGCTATCCCCCTCTTTCGCCAAGCCCGAGAAGAGCAGACAAGGCTGAGCCAAGCCTGGTGTTCCTCTTAGTCCTGGCTGAGGCGGCCGATCACGCCTCAGCCAAGCCTGGAACGTTTGACTCAGTGCGCGAAGAACACGCTGGAGGCTCAGGCAACGAGCCCCCTTACATTGCAGAATGGGACCCCAAAAGGATACGTGCACCTGGTGCGGGATGATGATGATGCTCCAGATGTTTGTTCGTATTCCCCCGAAGCGGTCCACGCGAGTGCCCTTCGATGGCCGACGACGGCACCAAGGCGGCAAAGGATGGCTCTTACGTGCCCCCAGGGTGCTTGCCGAATCCTCCAAGATGCAACGAGATGCTCCGAGGAAGGCCAACTATGCTGTCTGAGACGTCCCAGACCGTCCAGGAATACCCAAGGCGGCCTCAACTATTCCCATCATGGGAATCAGAGGAGATGAATCAACTCGAACAGATTCGATGATTGATGCCTGCCGCCTGCCTTGGCCCTGGAAAGGTGACGGTACGTCTCCAATGCAACCCCAGGTGCACCGAGGATGCCCCCCAGGATTGCTTGGGATAGCCCGAGGGTGGCCCCTAGTGGCCCGAAGATGCAGTGAAGATGCATCACATATCTTTCAAGTTAGTCCCCGAGATTGCCCGAAGGTAGACCTCGGAGCTCCCAAGACAACCTCAAGATCGCCCCAGATGGGGCCAACAAGGCCGCAACAGGGCCCCATAATTCAGTAAGGCGGCCCTACGGTGGCTCTGGGATACCACAAGATGGCCCGAGATCGCCCAAACAGCGGCAAGATGGCCACAAGAGAAAAAAAACCCTAAGACGACCCATTGAAAAATCAAACCCAGCGGTCCCCAGACCACGACTCTGCCCGCCCCACTTAATTGAAGATGTGGACAGGCATCTGGAGCATGCCGACACACAACGAACACCCGCGATTCCAAAGCACGACCGACCAAGATTAACGACTCCATCAGTGGGGGGCGTGCAGTAGAAGACGACACCGGTTAGAGAACAGTCAATTCGTCCAACCCTACAAATAGAACAGCACGACGTCTGCCGAGACTCCACCCCAACAGAGACTCGTGCTGCTCTGCAGTGGAAAGTACAAGACTGCAAGCACCTCTGGCGTTCCAACGTGCCGTCAGCATCGGATGTTATAAAGAACTAGGCGGGGCGGCTGCGCCTCTATGTGGCACCCCCACTTCACATTGCCAGGGCCATGGCCGCCAGAACTCACCTGGACGTCAATGCCGCTTGTCTGCGCGAGTCAAGTCGCGCAAACCGCCACGTCGTGCTCACGGCCCAATTGGGAGCACAGCATCGCCGCAAGTCGAGGAGTGGGCACCTCGACCTGATCCGTTTCCCAAGAACCGCCTCTTCAAACGCGGCACGCCACACCCAAGAGGAGGCCGAGAGCCGGCAGTAGATTCGCCGAAATTCAGTAGACAGGAGAAAGATAGAAAGGCCAAGCATTACGTGAATGGAAAACCAATGTCTGTAGATTCGCGATAACGCCAACGACCAGCCTCGTCCCCCTCCCCTCTTCCCCCTGGTCACGTCACAATTTGCGCTAGCGCCGTTTGAGAAATGGTCATCCTTGGGCATTCCCAGACAACGCTGGCGCGAATCGTGGCATGACTGGCCGCCTCCAACCCCTTCGCCCCCCCCGGTCACGCCCGTCATCGCCAGGGATCAAAATACGGCATTTAAACTGTTGGAGGTCCGTGCGGACTTCGTGGATCAGCGCTGAAACCACCTCCCTGGCTCGCGGAGCGCTCCAGGGGATGCGCCGGAGGCGCCGCCAAGGAGGGTTCAGCGCCGACCCAAGAAAATTCCCGCAGACCTCCTAAAGCTCATGGTTCTGCCGAAGAGGAATGGGGTCTGCGCGTAGATGCACAAAGCTATCAAGGCCCTGTCCCCCGCTGGGCTTCGCAGAAACGCCCAAGAACAACGTATAGTGTATGATGTTCCGGCCTGATCTCAGGGCGACAGATGGTGAGCAACATGATTAACACTGTGTTTGGGCCGCCACTTGTCACTAAGTGGTGGACAAACATAACATGGTACAGTGGACATGTTCCTGGCCCCGAAGTGAGAAGACGACGACGAAGAGGACGCAGAAGAAGCCAGGCCCCGGCGGACGCGGCACCGTCGCGGCCACAGCGCTCGCCGCAGCCGCGGCCGCGGCCGCAGGTAGTCAAGTGCGCCCCCGCCCGCGGTTTAACGCGGGGGGGGGGGGCAGACTACCTGGCAGGATGCGGCGGCGGTCGCATCCCTCTGACAAGCAGGGTCAGAAAATACGCGGCAGCGAAGCAACTGGCAATTGGGCACGGGGTGAAGGGAACAAAGAGAGAGATGGTTGGGGAAGAAAGATAGAGAGAGAGAGAGAGCGAGAGAGCGAGAGGGGGGGAGAGAGAGAGAGAGAGAGAGAGAAGTAACAACATGCACTGTTGTGGGCTGCGTGAATGGGCAGCCATGCCCACCTACCATTTCGTCTTCCTCTCTACGGCCTCCTGGCTGAAGGACGCATTGGTCAGGACTCGTTACTACACGCATCCCGACAAGGGACTCTTTACTAAAAACATCGTTGCTAAACCCTTGCTACAGGGATCCGCGTTGAGGGGGTCCGTATGAAAAGGCATTACCACTAAGGAACCCTCACGATCGGGACCCTTACCGAGGCTTTCTTGATGGAGGCATCCTGGCGGACGACTGCTTGCCAACGGCGCCCCCACTAAGGATTCCGCACTAAAAGGAACCCTACTGAAGGTTTCTGCATGCAGAAATCCTTAGTACCCACGACTGCTTGCCGAAGCATACACAAGGAATGCGTACTAAGCGTCCTGACAACTAACTCACGGAGATGCCCGACTGGAGGCGTTCGCATGGCGCCCCGTCGGGGTTTCATTGGCTAGGCCTTGCGTGAATCAGAAATGGGGATGAGCCAGAGAGGAGGAACAATAAAGAGGGAGAGAGAGAGAGAGAAAGAGAGAGAGAGAGAGAAGGAAAGACATATGTATATATATATATATAGAAAAAGAGAAAGAGAGAGAGAGAGAGCAACCGATACCAATATCTATATATATATAGAGAGAGAGATATAGAGAAAGAGCAGCTGGTTCCTCCTGCCGCTTCCCGCCTCGCGTCGTGGGCTGTGTGGGTGAGCAACCAGGCCCCCCTCCCATCGCCTCCGCTCCAGGGACAGCTTGCGCGAAAAAAAAATGTCTCCTCGCTCAAGATTCCTCACTGGAATAGGGGAACAAAAAGTGACATAAGCATAAAAACTCGGAGGTCCGCGCGGATTTCTCGGATCGGCGCTGGGGCCCCCCGGCGGCGCCTCCGGCGCCGCCCCTGGCGCGCTCCGCGCGCCAGGGAGGGGGGTCCAGCGCCGATCCGAGACATCCGCGCGGACCTCCGAGTTTTGATGTTTATACCATTTGTTGTTTCCCTATGGAAGCATCACCAGAAGGGAACGCTTCCGAAAGGAGGGAGTCGTAAGGAATCACTGCTGCAGGGGCCCATCCTGCGGGGATCCTGCGTGCTGCGGCCGTGAGGTGGGAGGGCAAGGGCTCCCCCCCCGAGCACGGTCCTCGAACGCCCACCTCCACGCCTGCTGGCAATCGGCTGGGGTTCCACGGGCCCTGCTCGAGGGGTCATGTTTGTCCTGTCGGGTGGCTGTCATCCAATACACCCACACACTGTCAGGATACCCTGCAAGATACCTTAATGTGTGCCACGGTGCTGGAAGAAACGGAAGGAGGAGAAAAAGGATGAGAAAAAGGCAAAATATGAGGAAGCGGAGTATGATGCGTGAGGGCGCCCAATCTCGTGTGTCAAAGCGCATACTTCACAATCTCGGGGCGTCCGAACACGACAACGGTCTCGAAGTTCGCAGCCCTCCAGGGATGGCGAGATCGGCAGCAAGCAGGAGGTGCGCTATTAGCCTGGCGAACTACCCAACCATCTGCAGTTGTGGGCACCGTCGTTGTATGCACCGCATTCGGTGGAGCTCCCTATGGGGCTACAAAGCGTGTGAAGGGATGTGCCAAAATGGGTGCGGTGGGTGCATGCAAACGCTGGCGTGTTGGCCTTCGGTGGGGCTCCCTGTGGGGCCCCGAAACGTGCGAGGGGCGTGCCAAACTGGGTGCGGTGGGCGCGCTGGCATTTACGCCTTCGATTGGGCCCCCATGTGGGGTCACGAAACGTGCGAACGGTGTGCCAAAATGGGTGCGGTGGGCGCGCGCGAACGCTGGCAGCTGGGCCTCCGGTGAGGCTCCCTAGGGGGCCACGAAATGTGCGAGGGGCGTGCCAACATGGGTGCGGCGGGCGCGTGCAAACGCTAGCATTTTGGCCTTCGGTAGGGCTGTCCGTGGGGCCACGAAACGCGTGAGGGGCGTGCCAAAATGGGCGCGGCTGGCGCATGCGAACGTAGGCATGTGGGCCTTCGGTGGGGCTCCCTGTGGGGCCACGGAACGTGTTAGGGGTGTGCAAAAATGTGCGCGGTGGGCGCATGCAGACGCTTGCGTATGGGGCCCCGTATGGGTTCCGTGGTGGAATTGAGCGTATGCGTATGTGCGTTGCGTATGGGCCAAAATTTGCGTTCGGTGGGCTTCCGTATGGGGCCCCGAAACGTTAAGGGGTGTGCCAACGTGGGTGCAATGGGTGCATCTGCACGCTGGCAGTTAAGCCTTCGGTGGAGCTGCCTGTGGGGCCACGAGACGTGTGAGGGGCATGCCAACATGGGTGCGGTGGGCGCGTGCGAACGCTAGCATCTGGGGCTTTCGATAGGGCTCCTTCTGGGCCCACGAATCGTGTGAACGGTGTGCCAACATGGGTGCGGTGGGCTCGTGCGAACGCAGGCACGTGCTCTTTCAGTGGGCCTCCCTATGGGGCCACAGGTGTGAGGGGCGTGCCAACATGGATGCGGTGGATCGGTGGGGCCCCCTGTGGGGCCACGAAACGTGTGAGGGGTGTGCCAAAAATGAGCGCGGAGGGCGCATGCGAACGCTAGCATGTGGGCCTTCGGTGGGGCTCCCTATGGGGCCACGAAACGTTTGAGGTGTGTGCCAAAATGGGTGCGGTAGGCGCATGTGATCGCAAGCATGTGGGCCTTCGGTAGGCTCCCTGTGGTGTCATGAAGCGTGTGAGAGGTGTATTAGATGGGTACGGTGGGCGCGTGCGAACGCTGGCATTTTGGCCTTCGGTGGGGCTCCTTATGGGGCCACGAAGCGTGTGAGGGGTGTGCCAAAATGGGTACGGTGGTCGCACACGAACGCTGGCATGTGGGCCTTCGGTGTGGCTCCGTATGGGGCCACGAAGCAGCGTGTGAGGGGTGTGCCACCATGGTTGAGTGTTTCGCAGGGCAGATGCAGGGATCGGAGGAGGAAGGGGAGGGGAATGAGGGAGAGGAAAAAAGGAGGATGAGGCAAGGAACGCGGGGCGCTGTCTCTTCAAAACGAGAACCCAACACCACAGGATAGTTTGGAACACGATGTGATACGGCAGACTGTAAAACAATCGCATGGCGAAGAAACCAATCATATGCAGTTGTGGGTACAGCCGTTGTATGCACCGCATTGGGTGGGGCTCCCTTTGGGGGCACGAAGCGTGCGAGGGGCGTGCCAAAATGGGTGCGGTGGGCGCATGCGAACGCTGGCATTTGGGCCTTCGGTGGGGTTCCCTATGGGGACACAAAGCGTGCGAGGGGCGTGCCAAAATGAGTGCGGTGGGCGCACGCGAACGCTGGCATTTTGACCTTCCGTGGGGCTTCCCATGGGGACACGAATCGTGCTAAGGGTGTGCCAACATGGGCGCGGTGGGCGCATGCGAACGCTGTCATTTGGGCCTTCGGTGGGGCACCCTATGGGGCCCTGGAGCATGCGAACAGCCTGCCAAAATTGGTGCGGTGGGCGCGCGTGAACGCTGGCATTGGAGCTGTCGGTGGGGTTCTGTGTAACCACGAATCGTGTGAACGGTGTGCCAAAAAGGGCGCGGCTGGCGCATGCGAGCGCTGGCAATTGGGCATTCGGTGGGGTCCCTATGGTGCCACGAAGCGTGCGAAGGGCGTGCCAAAATTGGTGCGGTGGGCACATACGAACGCTGGCAGTTGGGCCTCCGGTGAGGCTCCCTAGGGGGCCACGAAACGTGTGAGGGGTGTGCCAAAAATGAGTGCGGTGGGCGCATGCGAACCTCTTTGGGCCTTTGGTAGGGCTCCCTGTGGGGCCCCGAAGCGTGCGAAGTGTGTCCCGAAATAGGTGCGATGGGCGCATGCGAACGCTTCCCTTTGGGGCCACGAAACGTGTCAGGGGCGTACCAACATGGGTGCGGCGGGGGCACGAGAACGCTGGCAGTTGGTCCGTCGGAGCGTGTGACGGGTGTGCCAAACTGGGTGCGGTGGGCGCATGCGAACGCATCTGGGCCTTTGGCGTGGCTCCATATGGGGCCCGAAAAACATGCGAGGAGTATGCCAAAATGCGCGCGGTGGGCGTACGCGAAAACTCGCAGTCGGGCTTTTGGTGGGGCACCCTATCGAACGAAGAAACGTGTGAACGGTGTAGCAAAATGGGTGCGGTGGGCGCGTGCGAAAGCTGGCAATTGAACCTTCGATTGGGCTCATCACGGGGCAACGAAACGTGTGAGGGGCATGCCAAACTGGTGCGGTAGGCGCATGCGAACGCTGGCAGTTGGGCCTTTTCGTTGGGCTCCCTATGGGGCCGAGAAGCGTGTGAGGGGCGTACCAACATGGGTGCGGTGGGCGCACGCGAACGCTGGTATTTGGGTTTCCGGTGGGGTTCCGTATGGGGCCACGACGCGTGTGAGGAATGTGCCAACATGGGTGCGGCGAACGCATGCGAACGCTTGCGAACGCTGACGTTTGGGCCTTCGGCTGGGTTGCCAGAGTGGGCCACGACGCGTGCGAGGGGTGTGCCGAAATGAGCGCGGTGGGCGCATGCGAACGCTAGCATGTGGGCCTTCGGTGGGGTTCCCTATGGGGCCACGAAACGTGTGAGGGGCGTGCCAAAATGGGTGCGGTGGGCGCGCGCGAACGCTGGCATATGGGCCCTCCGTTGGGTATTCTGCTGGGGCCACGAAACGTGCGATGACTGTGCCAAAATGAGTGTGGTGGTGGGCGCACGCGAACGCTGGCAGTTGGGCATTCTGTGGGTCTCCCTGCTGGGCCACGAACCGTGTTTGGGGTATGCCAAAATTGGTGCGGTGGGCGCATGCGAACGCTGGCATTTGGGCCTTCGGTGGGGCCCCCGATGGGTCCACGAAGCGTGTGAGGAATGTGTCAACATGGGTGCGGTGGGCGCATG